AGTCGTACTATAAATGGTTTATTGTAGGTACTCGAACGAAAAACTAGTTTCACTGGCAAAAATAAAATACCAGACTAGGCTTTATTGTACACTAAATCACATTTTATTATATTTCAGAACATTTAATAATATCCTTTATATTCCTTCGATTACATCTGTAACGAATTGAAGGCTAACATTGTAACTGTTAAAGGAGTTCCATTGATTTAAATTGTATTGTTTTGAAATGAAATTTAGAGAATAAGCTAAATTGGTAGATATTTTAACTCTCGTAACCAAATTAAATCATGTCACAGTCAATTTGGAGCAATTTAACACATGTTTTCCTCAATTTATGAACGTTTTTATCATTTGTTCGTAACCGGGGGGTCCGTATTTGAGGACAAAGAATTTCCTGAAAGTAACAATGAAATAAGATCTGAAATGAGTGAATAGAGTATCTTGATGAGATTTAAAAAAAATATTAAAAGACAAGATTAATCACTTTTCATTTAGAATGGAAAATGGATAGGCTGGTTGAAAAACTCTCTCGGTATTTAACGTATTCAAGTAACACTTTATTGTGAGATTTTCACTGAACACTTTACAAAATTGCAACAGATTTTTCAGCGTGTGCATATATACACGCCTAAAGACCCTATTGTGTAGTGAATGAAGCACGTGCTGACGTTTTGTGAACTGTTCAGTGAAAATCTCACAAAGGAGTGTTAGGTTAGGTTAGATCAAAAGTTGGTGGGCCTATTCGACCTCCACCGCAACCCGCAAGCGCTTATTGTGGCTCACACCTATTCAAACTCGACCAAATAAACCCAGTTTCTTGGCAAATCCGATTAGTTTGTATGGTGATTGATCTTTCAGGTCAGATGGTAGAAGTCTGGTTTTACCAAACTCTGAAAACCTGATTCGGTCCGCAGCGGTGCAGGCACAACGTATGTGGTTTGCCGTTTCATCATTTTCCACACATAGGCGACACAAATTGTCTTCCCACAGTTCGAATCTCTGCATATGATGATTCAGATGACAGTGACCTGTAAGGAGGTTTGTTAGACATCGTAGTTCATCCCTATTGTAGTCCAACAACTGTTTGGTTTCATGCTTCGAAGGGCGAATGATCGCCTTGGAGTGAGCCAATCCTGGAAGATTTTGCCAGAGGTCTTTAAATCTTCTTACCATCCAGGTGTTCAATGTTTGTTTCGCAAAACCTAATGAAGGTTCTGGCCCGATGAAGTTTCTTGCAGAACTCTTCTTTGCGAGAGAGTCAGCAGCCTGATTGCCTTTCAGGTCAGTGTGATCAGGAATCCAGACCAGAGACAATTTGGTTAAGTCTTCCTATTGGTGAGAGTCGTTTGTGGCAATTTGGTACCAACTTAGATATTGCTCGGTAGGAGCCAAGAGCTTCCAACGCAGCTTGACTGTCCGAGAACATTTTTATTGACTTGTGTGTGAGGTTTGATTCTACCAATCTCTCCGCACACAATTCAATAGCATAGATTTCCGCTTGAGATACAGTCGCGTAGGTTCCTAGGCAGGTTGATATCTCTGTCCTGGATCTGGAACTGAAAAAACCTACACCCGAGCATGAAGGTGCAGTGTTCCTTGAATAGACTAATTTTAAAGAAATGGGAATCTATACCAAAAACGTTCGCAGGTAAAATAAAAAACAATGCATGAAAAATTACTGATAGATAACGAGTGTGTTCGATGTAAATGAAAACAAGAATTCGCGGACACAACACTCAAAAAACGAAGCAAACCGCGAACACGTGTTTCTGTCTTATTGACATTATCAGGGGGCGAAGCAAGGTCCAACTATCATAAAGACTCAATAACACCTTTTTTATATTCCGGACACGGATGTCACGTAGGTAGCTATAGCTGTCTACGTGGATATGTCCCAAAATAACAACTTCTAAACAGGAACTCAGTTCAAGTATTTCAATTCCAGATAGTTGCCGAAATGAATAAGACCGGAAACTTTTCACCATGAAATAAAAGTACTTATAAAACAAATTTTGCCAGCGGTGATACATTACTACTAATATATTCAGAAAAACGGATAGAAACTAATTTTCTCGATTGTTCAAACAATAGATAACTGTTGCGGCTTGCGTACAGATTTATCGTACGGAGAAATCATTTTTCTCCGAATTGGAAAGCGCGACTCCTCTTAACGAAATCGTAAAATAATAGGAAAAATAGCTTTTAATGTTTCGCAGCATATGAGTAAACGCGTATAATATGTCGTATGGTGCCATAAAATGTCCATTATACATGGATCTGGGCATAAAGATACAATGTATTTCTATAGAAAATTAAATTTTACGACATTATTTAGTTGTATTTATTTACTGACATAAATTTCAATCAAAGAGGGTCGTTTGCGTTCGATACGAATGCTTATATCAGTCAGCAATGGTTAATGGACGTTTTCGAGAAAAAAATGCACCTCGTATACAACATTAATGCGCCTTCATGACCATTCGCCTGTTCAAAATCGCGATAATCGATGACCTTTTGGTACATTAACGAGAAGAGGTGCAAACTATTCTACAGACGAATTTATATATTTTCAAAGTTTATTGTACGGTTATTGTTTACAGTCAAATCGTTCGCTGGACTTCTCAACTTGAGGTTGACATGTGGGAGTGTTTATCAATTGGTTATCTTCGAAGTTTATTCATAACTGGTTCGAAATGTATTATCCCCCTCCTGCCCCAATGTTTACTGCGAATTTATTAATGGGACTCGATATGGCGCACAGGTTATGTTTTTTGAATTCCGATTGTACATAAGTGATCATCAAGCAGACATACTTACTGTCTGCCAAAATAAGGAAGGCCAGCAAAGAAAAATTGAAAACCGTAAGAGATACAGGATTGCTTCACATAAAGTAGGATACTTGAAGACTGGCTCTAAATCAAATTATCTAAAATAACAATTCGTTCAGACCAGTCTGAACTCACCTAAACTGTAGGTTAATGGACTGACACCTATCAGAAAACAACTACTTTCCTGTCTAATACCACGAAGGGCGTTGGATTATGTCCGACAGGTGTCAGTGCAGGATTCTTCACAGAAGTGATTCCTGCATATGCTGTTGGCGATATAACTGCCGGACTCGATTTTCAATTATTGGAACGGGCACACTTGCAGACCGGTTTCGGGTTATTTGGTCCCTCGTCAGTGCAAAGTAGTGTCTGTCTATCATCAACATGACGTCTATGATTTCCCATTATTAAAAATCGGATTCCTTTCAGAGTATCATTTCTCGAACAAGGCTGAAGCGAACGACAAACAACATTTTTATCATCCAGGAACTAACCAATCATATATCCGAATGGCCCAATCCCTCGTGTAAGGAAAAACATCTTCACATAAGTAGGGGGGCATACTAGAAGACTGGCTGTGAATCAAATTATCTGGAAACACAATTCGTTCAGGCCAGTCTTCAGACTGGAGATATTCGACAAGAACCAAAATTCGATAATTTCGTATTTATTTTTCGTATTTCAATCAAATTTGTGCTGCTGGTCCTTCTCCAAAAAACGCTGAGTTATTCTGGAGGGGATGACGAAGAGCCTGTAGATTATTCCAGATAGAATAGAAGTAGAGAAAATTCCAGAAAGTTATGGTTATTAAAAGTTTTGCCAAATGCGCCGAATCGTCAGTTTAATCCAGACGTTAGCGAGTGCAATAAGGATGGAAACTTCAAGTGAACCTGTGAAAAAAGTAATTTTGAAGTAAGAGTACTAGTGTGTTTGAGTTGTATTTCCAGCCCATAATATTAGCAAGGACAAGCAAGCACTGTTCTTTTCTAAAAACTAAATACAATTATCTCCGAATTATGTGATGGAATTGGCTACTTGATACTGGATAAAAAGCGTTTAGATTATCAAGGTACACATTTCCGCTAGCTGCATCGATTACGATAGTCTTTTCAGTTCCAAATTGGATACCAATATGTCTTGGCACAATATTTCGAACTAGCACATCACCTTTTATGCATAATCTGAAGCTTCTTGAATATATCCATGAAATATCTACCCACCTGATTAGATACATCGCAAATCACTAGCAATTTTGATAGCATGGAACAGCACAGGAAGGGCTTTTTGTTCTTCTGTGCCTATCTTCATCAAGAGTTTTCGACTTTCAGCCCACTTGATTCAGAATTGATAATTTTTGAGAACAGATCAAGACAAAATCGTTGATGAGTTACGGTTGCATCGTTTTGTGTTTCCGAGAGGTTTGAAGAAATTTTACCGAACTACAACAGCAACTTCAGGAAGCCACAGGTGTGGGAGTTTCAATTGAAATTATTAGAAAGAGACTCCGTATTCGGGGTTTGAGCAGCAGATATTGTTCTTTAATCATATGAATTGATCAGGTGAACGTTGAACTCGGTTTCTGAGAGCTCCAGGAAAATACAGAGAAATAATTTTAATGTTTCGTTTTACAATTAAATTAGAATTTCAGCACGATTTGAAGCTCACATATTGGCGTAAAACAGCAACAGTGATTACTTTTTTCTAAATCTAAGCAAATGATTTTGTATTGTCGGTAATAAAAACTGCTGTGTTATTTTTTCCTGCCAATAAAAGTTTATTGGTTGTTTCGTGAATATATAAATAAAACATAATGCATCTTGTGATTTCATGTAAGTTGGTTTGGTTGTGTGTTTTGTTGCAAAGCAAAACTTCGTAGAAAAACATGTTTGTCATGAACAAAAATTGTGGCTAGATGTTTAAAATAATTTCCAATATTTGTGATGCTCATTACCTTTCTGAATGGTATTTTTTCTCTTTCTTCCAAGAAATTATGAAAAAGTCTATTATAAACAATTTTTAATATTTTTTGTGTCATTGAATTTCCTCAATATCAAACCACTATACTATTATATAAAATTTCCTTAAATGATAATGACTGCAGCAACTTCTCAGATGAGATTATGAGTTGCACATAAGTTTATAAAAAGTGATTGTTAAATCTGTAGAACTCACCATTCAGAGGGCTGGGCTCCAGCGGAGGAGGGCTTGAGGTTTCAGTCTTTATTCCTTGAGAATATGGGAGGATATTTGCCGGAAAAATGCCCTAAAACAATACCAAATTTCAAGGCGAATAAATGTCCATATTGTTACTACATATTTCCATTCCAGGAGTGTAAATCACGAAGCCACTACCCAAAAAAAATTCAACTTTACATGTATTCTGTCTTTACTGGAAATCAAGTAGTAAAACATAGTAACGTTCAACAGAAAATAGTATTTCAGTAATATAATTCAATAACATTTCTATTAAAGAACTGATTCTCAGATACACGATCAGATATTACATTCAATCTTCAGTCTCGTTGTAGTAAATTCCTGCTATCCACTCAACATTCCTAACATTATCATTCACTGCTTTATCTAGTCGAGTTCTATCCCAATTAACTACGTGAGCAATTAATTCTTCAATTATATTCATTTAGAATTACAAAAAACCCACTGAACAAATTAGTTTATCCAATTGATATCTTGTTCCTATAGGCGGGTAAGTGATAAAACTAGAATAAGATAGCCTTTGCTCGAAGTGGAGCGATAAATTTCATAAAGAAACTTAGAAAACTCATCGAGTCGTTGTAATTATGCAAATAGCAATTGTTTTATGTAAACAATAATTATAACAGAATAAAATTACGAAAAAAACAAACTGTTAATGCAAAACTATGGCAGCCTGAAATTAAGAGATCCACCGATATGAGGCAATTGTTCCGATTCTTCAAAATTAAGATTTCTCCCATAATTACCGGTAACTGTTAATTTTGGCCGTGCATTTCCAAGTTATTGTATAAAGTTCTAATTATTTTACACTTATTTTAATGACATGAAAAAATGTGAGAATAAGGTGAAGCACTATTACTCGATTTGAATAGCAATTAAAAAGTGTGGAATTCAGATAAAAATCTTGATGTAGTTGCCAAGTTTTCACCATATTTTGTTGTAATTATGTGAGAATAATTCTAATGGAAATCGGAGAACCAGTATTCGCTGAATCACTCCGCCTAATATTAAAATTGAGTTATTACAGGAAATGTTAACAATAAAATCAAATTACAAGATAATATTAATTTCTTTATTCTTGATGATTTATGAGTCATTTGCATATTTTAAGGTTGGAGATTGTACAGAAAGAATTTTTTTGCAGTTTAAATCAAATTACCAGATTAACAAACTGCTGATCAGTTTGGACTATATCTCAATGGTGCTGCTGTATTCAGCAAAATAGACCTCAATGATGTTTGAAATTGGCTACTTTTTCAACACACGTTGGTATGTTCAGATATAAACGTCTTAGCTTTGGTGTGAATGCTGCAGCTGAAATCTTCCAAAATATCATTCGTCAAACTCTAATAAACATTAAAGGAGTGTTGAATGTCAGTGATGACATTTTAATTTTTGGAAAGAATCAACAGGATCACGATGATACTTTTAACAAAGTTTTCCAACGTTTGAATGAATCTGGTTTGACAGTCAATAAAGCGAAATGTCTATTAAATCAAAAAAATAAAGTTTTTTTGGATACGTATTTTCTCATGAAGGAATTGAACCAGATCCAGCAAAAGTAGCAGCGTTCAAAAATTCAAAAGCCCCGAAAAATGCATCTGAAGTAAGAAGTCTTTTGGGTATGATCAATTATGTTGGGAGATTCATTCCGAATTTAGCAAGTACCACCAACCATTTGCGAACATTGATCTTGAAAAATACATGTTGGACGTGGACCAAGAAACATCAAGATACATTTGAATTCTTGAAAAGTCAGCTGAGTGAAGAATGTCATCTTGCATATTTTGATATTCACAAAGAAATTCACTTGTACGTCGACGCTGGTCCTTGTGGAGTAGGAGCTATCATCGCACAAGGAGATAATGAAAATCCTGAAATTGTTGCATACGCCAGCAGATCACTATCTCAAACAGAGGAGCGATATAGTCAAATTGAGAAAGAAATGGTTGCCATAACTTGGGCAATTGAACATTTCCACATTTACATATATGGTAGTGTATTCAATCTCTGTACCGAGCATTTACCTCTTGTCAGCATATTTCAGAATCGTCGATCAGTATTCTCAGCCAGAATAGAAAGACTGTGTCTTAGTGAGCCCGTACACGAGCCACATTTGGCGGTCGGATCGACCACACAATTGCAGTTGCGTTCCAGCGAACTCAAGCCGTCCATAAGAAATACTGTACTACACGTAGACGGGCGTTCACAAAAGGCAAAACGGACGTCTGCAGTCAACTTGCTGCTGATCTCCGCCGAGATGTCATCGGGGCATCCGCCGTACAGTAACCACAAACTTGCAGTCGTACTCAACCGCGTACACCGTGGTGTACTTTTTCTCATATTGGTCTCACAGCATTCAATTTTTGATGTCAGTTGCCTCAACTGCAAATGCGGTTTATATGACCGCAAGTCGACCACAAAAATGTGGTTGGGTCAACCGCGAAGTGCAGCCAACGTGACCACAATGTTGTTGCCTCAACTACAAATATGTGGTCTGTGTACGGCCGGGCTTAGGATTCAGCAATACCAGTTCAGAGTGAAACATCAAAAAGGTATAAATAATCCGTCTGATTACATGTCTAGACATCCATTACCAGTAGAACATACTACATCTGAACCTGCAGAGTATATAAACTTCATCCTTCAAAACTCACTTCCAAAGGCGATTTCTCTTGAAGAAGTAACAGAATTTTCAAAAAGAGACCAAGAATTCCAACATATATTTGAGGCTCTAAAGAACACTGATGAAAATTTGTGAAATACCAGTTTCTTAAAACTTAAAAAAGTTAGATATGGGTTGACTTCTGCAAATGGAACAATTCTGAGGAACACAAAATTGGTCATCCCAGAAACTCTTCGCAAACAGGTTATCCAGCTAGCTCATAAAGGTCATAAAGACGAAATATTACACACCATATATAACTGCAAAAAATACGTACATACTCAAAGCTTGAATCTACAGAATAGGATTGTTGATGAGACTAGACTAGACTAGAATAAAGGTTTTTCTGTTTGTATCAGATATTGCTGCCGGTTCCTTTATTGCAGTTGATATAGTTTAAGTATATGTAGATAACCTAATAACCTTTATTCCGTGGTTTGATAGAATGAATGCTCCCAAAAAACTATTAGAGCTCGCGCAATAAAAAAAAAACCATAAAAATCTAAAAAAGTCTGGAAATAATACCAAGGTTCAATAACAGACCATCATCGTTTTAATCATTTCAATATTACTCTTCCGAAATGGTGTCAATCGATTGATACATCACAAGTTGAAAAAACGCATATCCACTAAGCTACCGTTGATTTTTCGTGTCCCTCAAGTGACCTCCTTCCTGAAAGAAATATCTTGGATTAAACAAAAATCTACTCACCCGCCCACTAAGTGCATTCTTCTGTTCTTGTATCCTATCTTCACTAATCTTATTTCTAATAGCTTCTAGCTCTGCGCTACTGTATGGAAAATCTGGCGATTGCGACGTGGACATGTTCATGCCTACCCCATTGGTGTAGGGTTGTGTTTTTTTTCCGAGGTTCAGGGGAGTACTTTGGGTATTAACCGGGGGCGAGTGAGGTAATCTTTGACTAGATTGCTGGTGGGTCATCGGTAAGTTGGAAATGTTGATGGGTTTTGAAGTTAGATCATTGGATTTGGGCGAGAGCGGGGTGGAGGGGGGAGTAGGGGGTTGCGTAGGTGGCGTGCCTTCCTTTTTGATGGCAGGATTGAGGGTGAGGTTGTCGAAAATTTTACCTGCAAAAAAGAGTACACTGTTAGAAATTCGTTTTCATTGCTCGAGAAAAACAAACAAAATGAAGAAATGCAAGTATAGATGAGTATATCGGATTCGTGTTGTAATAGTACCCTCCTGTAACGCGGTACAATAACTAGTAGGTACTGCTTAGCATGATAAATTATGGGAAAGAAAGTTTTTGGCTTTCTACTACTCCATCTGATACAAAAAAATGGATTAGAGAATCTTCCAAAGAAAGGAAGGAAGTAATCAATTGGAAAATAAGTAACGCTATACATGGATGTGTAGATCATGTAAAGAAGTAACTTTCAGACACAAACTGAAAGAAAGTCCTCCTGAAACAGCTACTTTCATATAAACATTGAATTACACTAAAGAAAAAAATTTTTTTCGAAGCAAATACTTCTATATGAACACTGAATTATACAGAAGATACTTTTCTCTATTCAGTTTGTATATCAAACATTTGTTGAGGAATAAGAATCAGATATCATTCACACGAGTTCTACTTGTATTTTTGTATCAGATGGAGTAGTAGAAAGCCAAAAACTTTCTTTCCCAAAAATTAATCACTCCTAAAAATATAACCCTTTCAATTCAGAGAAATTATGATAATAATAATGATAGTGACTTCTCATTGCCCAGTATGGCACATTAAAAGTCTTTCAATGGATCAAGATTGAGATCTTTTCACATATTTGCCCTTATATTGAAATGACTGATTTTGCAATATCAGTAAACAAAAATGCATTTAAAAATACACTCAAGATTCGTCACCTTGTAGAAACTATTAATAAATTTTGACTCACCACGTGTTTATGCAATATTTGATGTCATTTATGTCTCTGTCTCACGGTGTGGCATATGATGATATTATTTTATTTTAATGTATCATTACTTTACGCATCGATTTGGACTATACTTTGCTTATTTCGTAAATGAGAAATGGTTTTGTTAGAAATTATTGAGTCAATGGTAAATCCATTGTTGAAACCATATCCCAAAAAATTGTTACTTTACAGTGAAAGGTACAGAGAAAGATAGAGGACGAATCCGTGTCAGTGGTCGATGTCAAAGCTTTATAACGAACTGCCTTCGGGAGTCTCATCATCGGTATTCGTGGATTGAGTCTTATGTTGATCACATAGATGACGTCTTCGTGAGACGTCATCTATGGACGTAAGACGTCAGTATTCAATTCCTGTTTTACTGTTTTATGTGGAATCCAACAATTCGACATTGACAATTTCTTTTCGATATGCAAGAAAAACCACAATCAACCGTGAACAACACATAATTATTAAAGTTATGAGTATTGATTTCCTCATCATTATGAATCGATTAAAAATTACTCAATTGCATAAATGTCTATTGAAATGTATTTAAATTACTCCTTGGAATCGTTTTACAGTTATTACCGTATAAATTTCAAAAGAAAGGACAAGTAATATGTGCCTTGTATTTTGCACGATTGAAAATGGGAAATGTATTTTAGATTTCTCGAAATGATATTGAAAAATATTTCAAATATGATTTTTTTTTCTCAAACGGAATGGTGACTCCTTCCAAAATCACCTGTCGCATATGGAACTGATCAACTATAAAAAATATGTATTTTTTTACGGTCATCGTATATTTAAATTTATCAGTTGAAAAAGACAATGCATCTCTTCTAAAGTTAAAACTATACCCTTCCAATTTCATGTAATTATACGCACATCTGCTAGAAAATAAAAACTCCCTTCGACAAGAACGTATCGATTAAAAATTGGAGAATCTGCCGTACAAAAAGTAAAAAAAAACGCCTCGAAACCGAAAATAACTAATTTATCATTTATTCAAAACAGAAAACAAATGAATTTCCAGAGCCAGCTTGATTAAATGAAGGATAGTGCGAGCGAGATGGGGAAATAAAAGACCCGCCGGTCGAACGAAGAAGTGAAATCAAGTAGTCCTGTCGAGCACAGTCTAAATGAAACAAATAAAAGAAACCGGAGAGAGAACATAATGATCTAGAGAGGGACAAAGAAATGAAAATGATTAATATTCAAAAGAAGAATATATACAATACATTGAAACAGGGTTAAAAAAATTATATGGCCTGAATGCATGTGCGATACATAAGCGCGCCGTTATACATTTAGGAGGGTTATCAAGTGATTCCGATGACGGAAGTTGGACATTATACTTAGATCACAGTGTTCTTGATTTTCAGTTAGTTATGAACATTAAACATGTGAATTTTGTGGATGAAGTTGTTAAATACATCATGGGCTTATGTCCCTCCAAATTGCTAACTTAATGAAATCACTGCGATACGATTTTAGAGCGAGTGTGATGATGGCACATATGAGGCACATAGAAATTTTCTCATCTTTAAATGACGATTATATTGACGGTAAACATATTCAATTCGTAGAAAAATTCTATATTAGCTTCATGTCAGCATATTGTGTTCTGAGAACAGTTAGGAGCATACTCAGCCTGGATAAAAATAGTCCAAAATGTATTTCATAAAAGCCAGTATTATTTTCAGCCAAGTGAAAAACTAACCTCAACAAAGAAAAGGGCGATTGTTTGGCATCTTCAACAATAATAAGGGAACAACAGTTCCATCTGGAATATCCAAATTTGAATTAAATTTAGTTTTTTTCAATTCCTTGATTGTTTATTCGAGATCATTATTTAGTGAAGTTTGAAATATTACCTTCAAAATCATGTATGTAAACTCTGCATGCAAACTCATTTATATTCATTTGCCTAACTTGAAGATGAATTTCTTGGAAAGTTGAGTCTCATCTTCAAATTGAACCACTTTCTCAAAATTGATACTACACTTTTCTATTTTTGGCAGTGTTGTATTTTTTCGAATGTAGGCCATATTTTTTCATGGGCATCTCAAAACAAATAGAGCCAACAAAAAAACTCCGGTGATTCTGTTCCGGTGAGTTAGATTGAGTTACACTCCATCTTTCTACGTGATGCAAATTCGATTCATAAAGTATTTAAGTACCACTTTGTGAGATTTTCACTGTATAGTTTACAATATCTTTTTCAGGCATGATCATATTAATTGTAAAATATCTTCTCTACATCTTGTTCTTCGACCTTTTTATTCCTGAGACAGGACACTTTTGCTCCTTTAAGTGCTCAGCTGATTCTGTATCTGAACCACCCTGCCGTGGTCTTCTGAATTGATAAAAAGATTTTCTGAGAGCAGACCCATATCGTAAATTTTTGCCAACAGAAATACAAATCATCCTTTAGAAATAATTAAGGGTTTGTCGATGGCTTTTATAGGTCATTGAAATATTGCATTGTAATTTCAACAATATAAACTTTTTTTTAAGTTTGACTTCCTGTTCTGGTAAAAATTTAATGAAAATTTTTGTTAGAGTATCCGTCTGGTAGGTAATATGTGTGAACGCCAATGAAGTATTCAAGTTTTGAAATTTTTAAATTAATGAATATAGTTGATTATGTATAGTTGTATGAAAAGAATGAACTTTATTCAAATATGGTAAACTATACTCTCCTATAATTATAACTTTTTCATCGGCCGATAAAAAGTTTAAGGAAATTTTCATAATTATACTTTTAACCCTTTAAAGGGTTCCTCATTAATATACTTCGAATTTTGTGTATGGGCTTATCGGAGATTTTATATGGTAGTACATTAATTTTGATGATATAGCACATTTTTTGATGATTTGGTGTATTTTTGAGATGGGAGGAATTTAAAAACGTAAATAAGGACTTTGAACACGTTGATGGAATTCGAGGTTTTGTTCTCGGCTCGACTTCTTATTTCATAGAATTAAAGTGGTTATGGATGCTTCAATCAAACCATTGTTCGATGAATGATTCAATTATTTGTCCGACTCTGTACATAAAAGCCCATACTGCTTTGTTCATGCAAGCAGTTGTAGATTAGAGGTATGTATTTTCTTAATTGGGACATAAAGAATATGATAAATAGTTGTTCTTTTATATTCGATTCTAAAGGTTTTTTTACTGTACGTTTTTATTTTTTGAATTGGGACGACTGATTACATTTTTTTAAGACAGAACACAAACACTACAGGAAAACCCTAAAGGCGTTCTAAGAACGGTGCTTGTGCGAAAGTAGCGATTCACGTTGGATTTGAATCGCTGACGATTACATTCCTTTGTAAAAACGTTCTTAGGAAGTTTATTCCACATACACGCAGTTCTCCGAATGAAAGAGTTCTTGAATAGTGAAGTTCGAGGTGTACTGATTTGAACCTCAAAACGATGAGCAGCAACAGTCCGTCGTGTATTTCTGATATGTACCGCTCTATAGGTACATATCCAAGTCACTTGAACACCTCCCGTGAAAGTATCTATAGTATCTACCTTCCTTCGATGTTCCAGGCTATCAAGGTTGCAAATGATGTTCGCTTCTCCAATCAGGCAGACGACCCTTTTGTGAATGGAATCCAGCAGCTTCAGGGTATGTTTGGAGGCGGAGCTCCATACATGAGAACAATACTCCAAAGAAAGTCTGATCTGAGCTTTACAAAGCATCAAAAGTTGCTGAGGTGTGTACATTTTTCTGGTTCGGAACAGTATTTCAAGCTTTTGAGAGGTAGCCTTTGCAATTCCATGGATATTATTGTGCCAAGACATATTGGTGTCCGTTTTAACCTCCAACAAACTTATCGAAGCAGAAAGCGGAATGGTCTGTCCTGTCATTATTAAATTCGGCTCGTAGACATTTATCTTTTTGGAGAAAACCGATGCCTGGGTTTACGTGACATTGAAAGTAAAAGAGAATAATTATCTGAATTAAACACATTTAGGTGAAGCATCCTGTACCACTTAGTTCACGTCAAATTTGGTATTAATCAGACATTCAAAAATTGACAGAACATAGAAGAGACAATAAGCTGTGTACCGAATAATTTTTGACAGTTCACCTTGACACTATGTGGATTTTGCTTTCCAAAATGCAAATTCATACTTCTATTATAAAAAA